GACGGAACACACAGGTTCATGCTCTCCTTCCTGCATCTGCCCTCCAGCTTTCCAGCCAAGTGGAAGTCCCTGGAGGGCCCCACACATATACCATTTCACTCCCTGCTTGCAGGTTGCGTTCACTTTGTCCACAGGCCAGAGTCTCCTTTCTCTCCCAGAATTCTCTCTGGAGACCTGCCCCCTTCTCCACGGGTAACTTAGCAATGCTTTGCTTGAGACCCCAGGCCAGAACCTCATCTCCATCCCCCTTCTCCCTCCCCTCCCACTCCCATGTCCCCATGCCCAGCACAGGGCTGGCATTGGGGGGCCCTCAGTCGAGGCTGATGCCACTTAACTTGAACTGAACTCCACAGGTCAGCTATGGAGCCAGCAGCATGGTGCTCAACGCGAGGAGGCTCTACCCCTCTTTTCTGCGCACCATCTCCAGTGATAAGCACCAGGTGGACATCTTGGTGCTGCTGCTGCAGAGGTTCGGGTGGGTCTGGATCTCCATCGTGGGTGGTGAAGGTGACTACGGGGAGGTAGGGATACAGGAACTGGAGTACCAGGTCACCCGGCAGGGCATCTGTGTTGCCTTCAGGGACATTGTGCCTTTCTCCGCCCGACCGGGCGACGAGCGGATGCAGAGCATGATACGCTGCCTGGTCCAAGCCAGGACCACCGTCGTAGTGGTTTATTCCGGCAAACAGGTGGCCAGGGTGTTCTTTGAGTCTGTGGTGCTGGCCAAATTGACTGCCAAGGTGTGGATCGCCACAGAAGACTGGGCCATCTCTAGTCACATCAACAGCCTGCCCGGGATCCAGGGCATCGGCACAGTGCTGGGTGTGGCCATCCCGCACAGGCATGTCCCTGGCCTGAAGGAGTTTGAAGAGGCCTATGTCCGGGCCAACAAAGGAGTTCTCAGGCCTTGCCCCCAGGGCTCCTGGTGCAGCAGCAACCAGCTGTGTACAGAATGCTGGGCTTTCACGGCACAGGCGATGCCCACGCTAGCAGAGTTCTCCATGAGCTCTGCCTACAACGTGTACCAAGCTGTCTACGCCGTGGCCCATGGCCTCCACCAGCTCCTGGGCTGCACTTCTGGAGCCTGTTCAAGGGGCCGGGTCTACCCCTGGCAGGTAAGGCACTTACCAGCCATTGGCACCCACTATCTGCCTTCCTAAGGCAGGCAGCGTGGTTACTCTTCAGCCACCCTAAATGCTGGGTGTGGGGGGCAAAGGCTGACCGCTAGAGGCTGATCCCTTCTATGAGACTTGTCTTGGTCTTCTCTGAGCTGAGGCTCCACCCACCCACCAGGCCTCGGATCCAGGGTTTGAAAGCTCTGCAAAGGGCTGCCTTGTTAGAGACTTTTCTCACTCAGGAGGCTGGTTAGGAGGGTCAAGGGGCCTCCTAGGAGGGGAGGGGGGCTGAGGAAGGGACCAAAACTTCCAGGTGGGCTGAAATGCCCCAGGTAGAAGCTCAGCAAGGTCCCATGCACTTGCTTCCTGGGCCATCTGGGTATGGGAGGACCCAGGAGGAGCAGCTGCTGTCATCAGCACCAGCTCCGTTATCCCTGTTTGTTTCAGCTTCTGGAGCAGATCCGCAAGGTGAATTTCCTTTTACACAAAAACACTGTGACATTTAATGACGATGGCAATACCCTCAGCAACTATGACATAATCGCCTGGGACTGGAGTGGCCCCAAATGGACCTTCAGGGTCATCGGCTCCTCCTCTCCATTTTCAGTGTCGCTGGACATAAATACGACCAAAATCCGGTGGCATGGAAACGCCAGCCAGGTAACAGGGACATGGTCACTAGCCACGTGACTGCCTGATGGGCAGCCTGAAGCCTGGGGGCAGTGCTGACACAGCTCACACAGAGCACGAGGTTGGATCCCAGGTATCAGGCTGTATGGCTCTCCCCAGCCCTGCCAGGGAGGCTCCCAGGGCTCAGACAGACAGATGCCCAGTTGCTGCTGGTTCACATGACCAGGGGCTCTGCTCCGGGAGTGAGCTGTGAGGGCAGATGCCCAAAGACCCCGTTTTCCATCCCATGTGTGAGGGTCCCTTGATATGACATCTCCACATGGCTGCAGAACACCATGGCTTCTTGCAGGTGCCTACGTCTGTGTGTTCCAGGGACTGTCCTGAAGGCCACCAGAGAGTGATCATAGGTTTCCACCATTGTTGCTTTGAGTGTGTGCCTTGTGAGGCCGGGACCTTCCTCAATAAGAGTGGTGAGTGACCAGTGATTAATGGGTGAACCACCAGCACTCCTAGGGTCTGTAGAGCAGATGGAAGCACCTCCCTTGGGCCACACGTGTGCAGAACCAGGACTCTGGTCACTTTGCTGCCAGTTAGGGACAGTTTGGAGGACACCTTCCACCAGACCTACGTTCTGATCAAGCAGAAAGAAACAAGCAGTTGAAGGCCTCATATTTAGCTGTGTTCTTTTTAAGAGAGCTCCAAACCCCTGCACCTACAGAGACAATTTTATCCTAAACTCAGCATCTTTATCCAAACAGATGTGAGTTTCATTCCCTTTGTACCCTCCCATATTGCTCTTTTTTTTTCTTTTTTCTTCCCATTTTATCTGTATGAAATCCCATCTATTGACCGTGCCAGTGACACCCAGTGCCTTGAACAGCTTGGCTTGAATGCAGACACTAGCATGACTGCGGCAGGACAAAAAGTTCTTCCATCCTGCGATGCAAGGTCATGGTCAGAGGGCAGACAGAGGTAGCTAAGGGGCTCAGCCCAGAGCTGGACTCCAGGGGCCACATGCCTTCTTTTACCATCTTGGTGGGCGTGGGAATGCATCTCTTCCATACTGAGGGAATCAACTCAACTCAGAGAAACCACAGAGAGGCAGCTCAAGAAGGTGGACTTGGCTAGGGAGAGAGGAGCCGTGGGAGAGATGAAAATGCCCTTCCTTTGGGGCTGGCTGCTTGCCCTGGATCACAGCCTCAGGGTGGTGCGGGCAGAGCTACAGGGTAAAGCCCTCTCTATGACCTCTTGGCTTGCCAACTCCTTCTGGGATCAGGAGTCACACAGAACTGACCCAAGTGTCTCCATGATCTGTAATTAACACAGGCATATTAAGGAAACACATGGCCTGGGGGCTGTCACTCAGGGCTACCCTCATCTTGCTGTGCCTGGCAGAGCCCAGTTCCTGTGCTACAGCCCCACCAGCACCTTGCAGGGTTGTTGTTATTATTGTGCAAGTCACTAAGTCGTGTCCAACTCTTCGCGACCCTGTGGACTGTAGCACGCCAAGCTTCCCTGTCTTTCCCTTTGTCTGTTTTTCAGAGTTGCTCAAACTCATGGATTCAAGGAGCCTGGCAGGCTGCAGTCCATGGGGTCGCAAGAGCTGGACACGACTTAGCGACTAATTCACCACCACCATGTCCCTTGAGTCGATAATGCCATTCAATCATCTCACCTTCTGTCGCCCCCTTTTCCTCCTGCCCTCAATCCTTCCCAGCATCAGGGGCTTTTCCAATGCAAGGGTTGTACAGCCTCCCTTTCCTGCTGTCCTCACCTGGCTCTCAGGAACCCTCTTCATCTTCTCTTCCAGACCCCTATAGATGCCGGCCTTGTGGGAAAGAAGAGTGGGCACCTGAGAGAAGCCAGACCTGCTTCCCACGCACCGTGGTGTTTTTGACGTGGCACGAGCCAGTCTCTTTGGTGCTGCTGGCAGCTAATACCATGCTGCTGGTGGTGGTGGCTGGGACTGCTGGCCTGTTTGCCTGGCACCTAGACACCCCTGTGGTGAGGTCAGCTGGGGGCCGACTGTGCTTCCTCATGCTAGGCTCCCTGGCAGGGGGGACTTGGGGCCTCTATGGCTTCTTTGGGGAGCCCACACTGCCCACGTGCTTACTGCGCCAAGGCCTCTTTTCCCTCGGTTTTGCCATCTTCCTGTCCTGCCTGACGGTCCGCTCCTTCCAACTTGTCTTCATCTTCAAGTTTTCTGCCAGGTTACCCACCTTCTTCCGTGCGTGGGTCCAAAACCATGGTGCTGGCCTGTTTGTGATGATCAGCTCAACAACCCAGCTGCTTATCTGCCTAATTTGGCTTGCAGTGTGGACCCCACTGCCGACCAGGGAATACAAACACTTCCCTCAACTGGTGGTGCTTGGCTGCACAGAGGCTAACTCACTGGGCTTCATGCTGGCTTTTACCTACAATGGCCTCCTCTCTGTCAGCGCCTTTGCCTGCAGCTACCTGGGCAAGGACCTGCCAGAGAACTACAATGAGACCAAATGTGTCACCTTCAGCTTGCTCCTCAACTTCGTGTCCTGGATCGCCTTCTTCACCATGGCCACTATCTATCAGGGCAAGTATCTGCCCGCGGTCAACGCGCTGGCCATGCTGAGCAGCTTGAGTGGCTGCTTCAGCGGTTATTTCCTCCCCAAGTGCTACGTGATTCTGTGCCGCCCGGACCTCAACAGCACAGAGCACTTCCAGGCCTCCATCCAGGACTACACCAGGCGCTGTGGTTCCACCTGACCACTGGATCGAGCATGGTCAAGCCTGGAGGGGTGGACTCAGGGGCGAAGGTGGAACCGGGGCGTCCAGGACCTGGGGTGTCCGGGAGGCTCCTCAGCCTTGGAGTGCGAAGTGTAAACCCACGGGAGGGCTCAGTCAGAGCTGCGCCGGCTGCCAATAAAAGTGAAATGTGCGTCTTCGTTGCGCTTCCTCTCTAGGGCGACGGTAGAGCGCTGCCTCTTCAAGCCTCAGGGCGCTGTGCGGCCCGGCTAACCGCAGGCGGAACCTCGGAACTCCCAGCGGGCAAGAGACCGACTGTCCAGCTTGGCGTTGCTAGGCAACCCAGGGAGGCGGGCCCAATGCCGGGGGGCGGGGGGAACTGGACTGGTCCCACCTCTCTCTCTATCCCATTGGCTGCTATCTATGTAGTAGATACCTCCAGGGGCAGGAGGTAAAGGCCTGCGCCCACCGAGGCGTCCCGCCCCGGCCGGCGCGCCCTGACGTCACGTCCGGCGGCGGCGACGGCGGCGTCTCTGCACTTTCGCCGGGCACGTACGGCCGGGGCAGTTGGTCAGTGGGCTTGTGTGGGCTACCTGGCTCGGGTCTGGAGGGGTATGCGTAGGGAGCATGGACCAGGGTGAGGAGGTCGAGGGGCAAGGGACGAGGGAGGGGGCGCTGTGGGCCGCCGTGACTGCTGACGGAGTGTGACCGCGGCCGCCTTCCGCCCGGCTGCTCGAGACGTGTGGGCGCGGCGTGGGTTCCTCTCACCTGTCTGCAGCCGCTGTCCTCCCCTGCCTCCGGTCTTCTCGCTCTGCCAGGCTGATAAGTTCGCGCTGATTCAGCGCCTCTTTTCCCAAACTTTTGATTTCCTCCCACCGGCACCCTTTCCCGATTGTGTCCCCACCTAGTCCTCCCGCACCCCCTTCACCCACACTCTCTGCCCACCGGCGATATGGCCTGTTTGCTTGGACCCCGCCCCAGGGAGGCTCTCAGTCCCTTCCTGCCTCAACTTGCACCTTCTAACCTTGATCTAAGTCCTGGTTGTAATAAACGTGAATGAATAGAATCTGTCTCCCTTTACCCTGGTCTCAGCTCCAGGGCCTTTCTCTTGCTGCCTCTGGGTTGGACTGGTCAGAGTGTCACTGCCGTGTTTCTTCCCTTCAGAGGGACCATGGACGGCTCCTTCGTCCAGCACAGCGTGAGGGTTCTGCAGGAGCTCAACAAGCAGCGGGAGAGGGGCCAGTACTGCGATGCCACTCTGGATGTGGGGGGCCTGGTGTTCAAGGCACATTGGAGTGTTCTTGCCTGCTGCAGCCACTTCTTCCAGAGCCTCTACGGGGATGGCTCAGGGGGCAGTGTCGTCCTCCCTGCGGGCTTTGCCGAGATCTTTGGCCTCCTGCTGGACTTTTTCTACACCGGCCACCTCGCCCTCACCTCGGGGAACCGGGATCAGGTGCTCCTGGCAGCCAGGGAGTTGCGAGTGCCAGAGGCTGTGGAGTTGTGCCAGAGCTTCAAGCCCAAACCCGCGGTGGGACAGCCACCAAGTGGCCAGAGTGGACTTGGGAAACCTGCCCCCCGGGATGTGAACAGCCACCCCAAGGAGTCCGCGGGTGTGGAGAAGGAGGAAGTTTCAAGGACTCTGGGTCAAATCCCCAGGGATTCGGAGCTCAGCGGTAGTCTCAGTCCCCAGAGGTCCCGGCTTGGCCTCCCTGCTCAGAGTGAGAGCCCGTCCTTTCTCCGTGGGAAACTCAAGCAGGCCCTGAAGCTCTGTCCCCCTGGGGACAAGGAGCCTGAGGATTGCAAAGTGCCCCCAAGGCCCTTCGAAGCTGAAGGTGTCCAGCTGCAGGGCGGGACTAATGAGGTACTGTGCTCAGGGTGTTGGAGAAGGGGAGATGGGGAGAAGGGACTGATACTTTTCAGGGGTAATCTGGACCTAAAGGTAGAGTCTGTTTTGTGGATTTAGAACAGGCTTTCTCCAAATATAGGGCTTCCCAGGTGGTGCAGTGGTAAAGAATCTGCCTGTCAAGGTAGGAGATGCGGTTCAATCCCTGGATCAGAAAGATCCCCTAGAGAAGGAAATGGCAACCCACTCCAGTATTCTTGCCTGGGAAATCCCATGAATGGAGGAGACTGATGGGCTACAGTCCATGGGGTTGCAGAGATGGATGTGATGTCTCCAAATGCAGGAAGCTCCATCCCACAGCCTCAGGCTGACCTTCCTGCCAGTTGTGTCTGTGGTTGGCAGCTTCTTATGGCCGATGGGGGTGGCATTAGGTGTTTCCCCAGGGAAGTGAAATCCAGGCGGACTTCCAGTTACCCACAAACAGATCTCCTGCCCTCAAACCTGGGATTGGGTTGTTGCTGCTGCCCTGGGACCTTGAAGGAAACAGGCACTGATGAAGGAACGGACGGGTCCTGGGACAGGCCTGGGTTGGGACTTGGGATGAAACTGGATGGAGCTGGCCACCCTGTAGACCCATCCCCAAAACCCCTGCTGATTCAGTTTGGTGACCTCACCCCCTCCTGCTGCCTCTTCTGCTCTAGTGGGAGGTGGTAGTTCAAGTTGAGGACGACGGGGATGGCGATTATGTTTCTGAAACTGAGACTGTTCCGACCAAGAGGAAAGCAAATGTAATCAGAAAGCCCTGTGCTGCCGAGCCAACCCGGAGTGCAGGTTCCCTGGCAGCCAAGCCTGCTGGGAACAGAAAAGGTACAGCGGTGCCAGTTGAATGCCCCACATGTCATAAAAAGTTTCTCAGCAAATATTACCTAAAAGTCCACAACAGGTAAACGTTCTGTTTTTCTATTTTCTTTTACCATCTGCTGTTCCTGTGTTGGGGGGAGGGGGCCCACACTCCCCACTTGCGACCCACGTAGGGGGCTGGGGTGCCACCTCAGATCCACACAGTGCCTGGCATTGGTATCCTCTGACCATTGGGGAGTGAGACTCTGACCTTGGACAGCTTCCTTCTTCCTCCCCCTTCTGTGAGCTCTCTGCTGGGAGTGGGTTTGGGGACACCCAGGTGGCGCTAGTGGTAAAAAACCCACCTGCCAATGTAGGAGACATAAGAGATGGAAGATCCCCTGGAGAAGGGCATGGCAACCCACTCCAGTATTATTGCCTGGAGAATCCCGGGTACAGAGGAACCTGGCTGGCCACAGTCCATGGGATCGCAAAGAGTCTAACAGGATTGAAGTGGCTTGAAGCAGCTGTTAGCATCAGGCTCCACCCACTGTGGACCTTGACCTCCAGCAGGCTTCTCCCAAGGAGGTGAGAGCAGCCTGAGGGCCCACAGTGTGGCTCCAGCCTGACCCCACACCGCAGGTGTTTCTGAAGCCTGGCAGTGTAGGCCTGGGGCGAAGATGTCCATCTTTAGGGTGGGTGCTGCCTGCATTTCTGCAGACAGGTTAAATCTCAGATGTCAGCAGAGCACTGGGGACCCTTTGTCTAAAGCTGCTGTGTCCAGTAAGGTGTTGACTTAAAAAATATTCAAAACCTAAAAGTTGAGAGTTATCTTTTATTCAGTGGGAATTTTTAGGACTTCAAGCCCAGGAGGCAGCAGCATCTCAAGTAACCCTGAGAGAACTGCTCCAAGGAAGCAAAGGGAGGAGCCAGGTTATATAAAAATTTTTGCAACCAAGGGTATATAGTCTGAACATCAAAAGATTATTGTTAGAGAAAACCAGATATCCCAAGTTAAGGAATTTTGCACTTTTCTATGTATGGGAAGATGTAAGCATCTGGGCTCACTGAAATCACTCCTTGGATATGCACCTCAGCTTTCTGGGACAAGTATCCTGTGTTTTTCGCATCTTGAGCGTCCTTGGGGCTCACCTCAGGAAGTGGCTGCATTTTGATGGCTGCAGATAGCAGGTATTCTTCTCCTGAGTTCCCTTAGGGCTCACTGGCTTTCCTGGAGGGCTACAATGACTGGTGCCTGTGACATCCTTGTTTACTGATGTGGCAGGAGATACTCCATTTCTCAAAGGTAATCAGATTCCACAGGAAGCTATTTTAACTTAAAAGTAATTAAAATTAATTAAGTTCCGTTCCTAAGTCATGATAGCTTCATTTTAAGTGCTCAGTAGCTACTTGCGGCCCGGCTGCTGAATGAAGGCCACAGCATGGATGCGGAGTATTGGAATATTTCCTTCATCCCGTGCATCCTTGTGGAAGGCACTGCCCCCGAGGCCTTGCTCTTCCTACAGCCTGCAGGGAGGGCAGCTAGGTGACACGCCTTCCCCTCCTGCCCCTCTTCAGCCCCAGACAGCACCTGGTGCAATGTCTTGCCAAGCCAGGCTGGGCCATGCACGTTTTCTCACTATGACACTCTCAGAGGCCCCAGATGACTGAATGAAGTTGGAACTGAGGACAGAGCCCTCTTGCTCTCCCTGCTCTGGGGGCAGCTGCTGCCAGTGGAGCCTTTGGGCCAGTCACCCTGGGGTGACCTGTTGTCTGCCTGCACACTCCCTAGGGTGAAGCTTGGGTGCAGGTACCAGCCCCGTCCTTATGCTGCAGGCCACTGGACTGACCTAAGAACTAGGAGGGAGTGCCAGCTGAGGTGCCAACAGGTCTTGCGGGCGGGGGACAGTCAGTGTATCAGCAGGGGATGAGAGAAGAGTGCCTGTGGCAGGCTGTCCGTGCTCTTCCCGCACCATTCTGGGCTCTGAGATCAGGGTTCACTTAGTTCATTCAGTGAGTTGTCTGCCAGGTGGCTGGGCGCTTCAGATACCTTCATGAACAGAACAAAGGGGCCTTGTGGAGCTCGCCTTCCAGCAGGGCGGTGAGACCCTGAACAACCAGATAAGAGACTCTGCAGTGTGCTGAAGGGCTAGAAGTGCCATGGGAAAAAAGAAAAGGACAGGAGGGCTGGGGAGGGGGACCTGGGGAGTTCAGGGTCGGGTCAGGTTGCAATTGTAAAGACAGGAGACTACCCAGCAGGTTCAGAGGAAGTGAGGAAGCTTGCAGATGGCTGGGGAGCAGCTCTGGGCTGGAGGGGAGCTGGAGCAGAGGCTCTGGGGTGGGAGGGAGGCAGCAAGGTAAGGGGCAGCAGCAGGCTTTTCTTGGGGCCAGATGCCAAGTGTTAGAGGGTTGAGTAGGTGATGAGACCTGGTTATCCCCGAGGGTCCATCTGACTCCTAAAGTGGACACTTGTTGGGAGGCCTGCGTGGAGCACAGGGCCAGGTAGGAGGCCCAGGCAGTGGCCTGGGGATGGTGTGGCCACATGGGTAGTAGCCCAGAGGCCAGCCGAGGTGGTCAGATTGTGGCCATGGTTTCCAAGGCCGAGCTCGCATAAGTCCCAGGCAGGCTGAGAGGTTTCTCCAGGGAGTCGGGGCCCAGAGGTTGTTTCTGCCTTTGGAGAGACACTGCAGCTGGGCCTCCCAGTGGCCTGTGGTTCTGGGGTGTCCCCTACGGCGGGGAGCTGTGCCCTCCCTTGCAGAGTCTCTGGGAGGGAGGAGGGTTTCTGGACGCACCCCACACAGCTTCACCAGCCACGTGGAGAGCCTCAGGCGTCAGCCCGGGCAGCTCAGCACTGTCAGCAGAGGTGCCAGAGCGGGCCCTGTGTGAGGGAGTGCGGCGAGTCCACTCAGCCTCCATAACCCGTGGCTTCTCCCAGCAGGAAACACACTGGGGAGAAACCCTTTGAGTGTCCCAAATGTGGGAAGTGTTACTTCCGGAAGGAGAACCTCCTGGAGCATGAAGCCCGGAACTGCATGAACCGCTCAGAACAGGTACCTGAGGGCCAGCCAGGGTCCTGCTGGGCAGGCGCACGCTGGCTTCTGTCTCTTCCACCTGGGAGGGGCCCCCAGGGGACTGACTTGACAGGACTGTAGACTTGAGAGCCGCAGGGTCCTTGGATGTTATCGGGTCCGCTCCCTGGTATGACAGTGGGGACACAAGTCCCAAGGGCAGAAGGGACGAGCCCAGGAGGGACACTGTAGGAGGTATCTTGGGTTTGCTTGCCTGGGTTCCTGGGCTTTGGAGAAGGAGGGTAGGTGCTGAGAAAGGCCACCTGGCCACCTCCCCCCATCCCCCTGGTGGGCTAAACCCTGCTTCCTAGAGGCTGGTCACCAGTCAGGGTGGGGGTCACAGGTAAGGCCAGTCGGCCTTTGTCCCTGATCTGACTCCCAGTCTGGTGTGGTGGGCTTGCAGCACTCAGCGATGGTCACGGTCAGGGCAAGCAGGTTTTGTGTTACCCTCTCCCACCATAGTGCCCCCACCCCCTTGGGCAGACTCTTGCCAGCAGCAAGTGGAAGCCCGGGCAGAGGCCTTCCCCCCCCTAATGCCGGCCCCGCTTGCCCCTCACGCTGCCAGGTCTTCACGTGCTCCGTGTGCCAGGAGACATTCCGCCGGAGAATGGAGCTGCGGGTGCACATGGTGTCCCACACGGGAGAGATGCCCTACAAGGTCAGGCTCGGCCTGTCCCCAAGGCTGGAGGCCGAGGGGCGGCCCCAGGATATCCACCCCACCCGCCTCGCCTAGCCCTTCATGTGGGAAGGTGTTGGAGCCTCCCTTCCCTACCTGCCCAGTGCTCCTGTGTCTTTGGGCAGGATTTCCTCACTGGAGGACAACCTCAGCCTCCACCTGGGTGTGGCCTTCACACCTGGTCGAGGAGCATCTCAGGCTGGGCCCTGCCTCTGGGTTCCTGCCCCAGTAGACCTGGGGGTGACCCGGCTTCCAGTGTTGTTGGCGGCTTCTACGGTCACAGGTGACCGTGAACCTGTCTTGCAGTGCTCCTCCTGCTCCCAGCAGTTCATGCAGAAGAAGGACCTTCAGAGCCACATGATCAAGCTGCATGGAGCCCCCAAGCCCCATGCGGTAAGTGCCAGCCTGCGCCAAGGATGGGGGCCGGGCCCTCTGCGATCCTGGGAGCCAGCCCAGGGAGGTGGTGTGGCTGGCCTAGAGCAGGCAGGCTATGCGGTTTCCCAGGGCAGGGACTCCAGGGCAGTCCTGCTCCTCACTCTGGCCCTGCCCCCTCTGTCCCTTAGTGTCCCACTTGTGCCAAGTGCTTCCTGTCCCGGACGGAGCTGCAGTTGCATGAGGCGTTCAAGCACCGTGGGGAGAAGCTGTTTGTGTGCGAGGAGTGCGGGCACCGGGCATCAAGCCGGAATGGCTTGCAGATGCACATCAAGGCCAAGCATAGGTGGGACCGTCCTCCCCAGGGCCATCCTGCCTGGACCGTCCTCCTCGGGGCCGTCTTCCCTGGGGCCATCCTCCCTGGACCGTCCTCAGGGCCATACTGCCTGGACTGTCCTCCTCAGGGCCGTCCCCCGGGGCCATCCTCCCTGGACTGTCCTCCTCAGGGCTGTACCCCGGGGCCATCCTCCCTGGACTGTCCTCCTCGGGGCCGTACCCCGGGGCTATCCTCCCTGGACTGTCCTCCCCAGGCCCGGCCTGCTGCCACTCACAGGGGCCAGAGTGCCCCCACCTGTGTCCAAAGCCTGTAGCCTTTCTGGAGGGAGGACCTGAGGGATGACACAGCTTGCCAAGCAGGGAGGCTGTAGGCGGGGATTCAGGCAGAATGAGGCTCTGGGCCTCCCTGGGCAGAGTCCTGGTTTCCCGTAGCTCCCGGGATGCAGCTCATGCCCTCTTTTCCCTGGGCAGCCCGACTCTGTTCTCACAGCTCAGGCAGGCTGGCCTCAGCCTGGCCTGTATCCTTGGCTCTGGGATCAGGTGTGTTCCCAGCTGCAGGGGCACCAAGGGGACTGCTTCTTTTCGGTGACGCCTGTGTCCCCGCCTGGACAGGAACGAGCGGCCGTACGTCTGTGAGTTCTGCAGCCACGCCTTCACCCAGAAGGCCAATCTCAACATGCACCTGCGCACGCACACAGGCGAGAAGCCCTTCCAGTGCCACCTCTGTGGCAAGACCTTCCGCACCCAAGGTGAGGCAGGCCGGCCCCTCCCTGGGCTGGGGTTGAGGCCTGGCGGCTGAGCCCCGCTCCTTGTCCCCACAGCCAGCCTGGACAAGCACAACCGCACCCACACTGGCGAGAGGCCCTTCAGCTGTGAGTTCTGCGAGCAGCGCTTCACGGAGAAGGGGCCCCTGCTGAGGCACGTGGCCAGCCGCCACCAGGAGGGCCGGCCCCACTTCTGCCAGATCTGCGGGAAGACCTTCAAAGGTACCTGGCCTGTGGAAGGCCATTGCCCTGCCTTACCCTGGGCGGAGAGAGGGCCAGGCCCTTTCCCCTGGTCAGAGCTGGAGGGGTTCCCCGGGAAAGGTTGGGTGCAGCAGTGGCTGTCACATGCCCCTTGGCAGCAGAACTCTCTTGCCAGCAGGGAGGGGCTGGAGGCTCCCGAAGGCCCCGGGCAGTAGTGACTTCAGGGTGCTGCCCGAGAAGCTGGCAGGGCCAAGCCCGCCCACTTCCTGCCTCCCCTGACCCCGGCCCTTCCCTCCTGCAGCCGTGGAGCAGCTGCGTGTGCACGTGAGGAGACACAAGGGGGTCAGGAAGTTCGAGTGCACCGAATGTGGCTACAAGTTCACCAGGCAGGTAGGCCTGGGGCTGACTTGCCTCCTCCAGCCCCTTCGGGCTCCTGAACCATCCTCCTTCAGCACCCAGCCTGAGCCCCCCTAACCCCTAGGCCCACCTGCGGAGGCACATGGAGATCCACGACCGGGTGGAGAACTACAACCCCAGGCAGCGCAAGCTCCGGAACCTGGTCATTGAGGATGAGAAGATGGTGGTGGTGGCGCTCCAGCCGCCCCCCGACTTGGAGGTGGGCTCAGCTGAGGTCATCGTGGAGTCACTGGCCCATGGTGGCCTGGCATCGCAGCTCCCTGGCCAGAGACTGTGTGCTGAGGAGAGCTTCACAGGTGCGGGCGTCATGGAGCCCTCGCTCATCATCACGGCTGCCATCCCCGAAGACTGTGACACATAGCCCCTCACCCAAGTGAGCGGTTCACTTGGCCCCAGCCCCCAATAAACCACAGGGCTTTGGACTCGACCATTCCAGCCCATCCAGTGGTCTGTTCCCCTGGGAACTTGGGCTCTAGGAGGAGCTGCTTTCCTGCCATGTCCTCTAGAAGAAATGGGGCACTGCCTGATTTGTGCATCCCAGAGCTTGGCCAGCAGCTTCCCCAGGTTGTTGGGAGACCCCACGGGTGAAATGTGGGTTGGTAGCTTTGGGGGCCACGCCTCTGGCTCGGGGCACTCTAATTTTTCTCCCGTCCGGGTTTTAGAACTGGACCAGATGGAGCAGTAGCGTTCCTACAGCATAGCTTCGGCAATGCCAGCTAGTGAAAGCAGAATTCATCACTCAGCCTCTGGAGTCAAAACATGGTGGCCAGGGTCCTGATGATGGTGGCTGGCCAAGATGGGGGCCCAGTGAGTGTGCAGCCGAGCGGATCTGGGGCTGGAGGACAGGCTTGCGGCTAAGCATACTCTGAATCCTGGCTGGTGGAGAGACTACAGGCAGGAACTTTGCCTGGGGAGAAGCTTGTCCAGGGGGCTGGCTTGAGGCACAGGCAAGGCCAGGCCTAGGATGGCCAGAGGCCTGGGTAGCACACAGGTTCCGTAGCCGTGGGAAGAAGCGCCTGGGCTTAGGAGGCCAGTTGCCTGCACCGATTCCTCTCCAGCTCCTTCGTGATGTTTGTGACCTGGGGCAAATGACTAAGTGCTTCATTTCCTTATTTTTAATGGAATTAGTGACAGTACATGCTTCATAGAGAAGAATTAAATGAGGGAGCCTGCTGTTCCAGTCTGACTACTGGGTAACAGAACACCCAGAACTGCCCATGGGCTGGAGGGCAGGTCTGCTCTCAGGATGGCTCACTTGTGTGTGCCTGAGAAGGTGGCCCTGGCTGTGAGCCGGGTGCTCCTCAAGGGGTTGCGTGGGCTCCACCAGAGAATGGTAGCTGAGTGCCGAGTGCACACGTCCCAACAGGCCAAAGCTGCCTGTCTGTGACCCAGCCCTGCAAGTCCAGTGTCACCCCGCCACATGGCGTTGGTCCAGGCAGTCATCACAACATCATTCCTCAGGTTCAAGGCTAGGGAACGTGGGCCCCACCACTCACATTGGAACCTGCACACGTTCACAGCTGCCTCACCCGGAGTCTGCCCTTCTGCTCACTGCTTAGCTTAGCACAGTGTGGGCAGTCAGCGGCAGTGACAATCATGATCCGCCACTCACCTCCTCACTGGAGGATTCCCGAGGCACCTGCCCCATCCTGTGCTGAACACCTCGGATCTGAGGAAGGAAATTCCGTTTTAGAACCAGAACCCATCCAGCCGTCTTTCCTGTTACTCCTTGACCACTAGGTAAAGAGGTAAAGATGATATTCAAGTGCAGTGACTGCCAGCCAGGTCATGAGCCACTGCAGATGACCAGGGGACTGAGGTGGACCAAGCTTCAAGATTCCCCCTTCCTGGCCAGGCACTGGCTGCTTCCTTGGGTTCAGTGGGCTCTGCAGACATGAGGAATGTTCCAAGCTTCTCAACCTCTTCTGGGGTGATCTTCCTCTATTTTAAGGGTCCGGGGTTTACCCGCTGCGGAGATGGGGATCTCACCACCATTTGGGACCCCACTTTCAGGAAGAGGGCGCAAGGCAGTGGGCAGAGTGCCCTGGAGTCAGGAGGCTGAAACAGCTCTTGGCCTCCACCACCCTCCTTCCTCCCACCTCCAGGGCTCAGCCTCCTCTCCTCACGACTTCCTGCCTTGTAATGACAGAGACAAGAAAGGGCGTAAAAGGCTTTGCCCCCATAACCACCAGCACAAGTCCTGGGCACTTCAACCTCGACCCCCTTCCCTGTGGGCACAGGGGCAGCCGCATTAATGAGTATTAAACGTGCTCCTCAAGGATGCCTGGCTCCCTTGCCCCACGTGCCTGGCCTCAGCCCATAAGGCTCCAAGACCCAGGAGCAGCAGGATGGAGGCGATGACACCAAACATATAGGAAACGTTTTTATTTCAAAAAGTTAATGAATTGAAAGCATCCTAAAACCTTAAACAGGATCCCAGACACAGAAGCCTAACGAACAGACAAATAAATATGCAAACCTGCCCCATGCTCAGGGGGCTGGCACTGGATGTCGGACCCTGGAAGGAGGGTGTGCTAGTCCAGAAGAGTCTTTGAAGTCATATAAATATAGAATACTTTAAACAGTAGGTCAGCATTAAATACTAGTCACTGAACTCTCATAACTTAACTTGCCTCACAGACTCAAAGTCGTGTACCTCTAACATGGAGAGAGTCCCTCCCCAGCTGGCCCCGCCCGTCGGTGTGCAGTGACGCAGTGGACCACGGAGGGCAGGCAGGGAGGAACACTTCTCAAGGGTCGACCCTGCTCCTGGACCCCCAGCGGGAGCCTGCTGTTGCTGAGGCTGGTGCCTCCCCTTCCCAAGGTGGGGTCTGGTGGGTGGGGACCTGGGGAGTTTCTAGGAAGTGAACATCACTGCCCCCCTCCCCCCCACACCATCATCTGAGTCACCACTGGCGAGTGGGATGGCTGGTCACATGGTGAAGTACCAAAAACCTGGCAAAGACCAGACAAAGACCCAGGCTCTGGCCCTCAGAGCTGACCAGAACGCCATGGTGGGTGACAAACACTGATTGAGGAGGAAATCGTGAGTCTGCAGCCCCAGCAAAAGGTCTCCCCATAAGCCACTGCCTGTGGAGATTTATGCCCTTGACACAGAACAGCCCTGCCTGCCTGGGGGCTGGTAGGGGGAGTTCCAGTGACCATGGCACACGGCTGCTCTCCACCCCCATCCTGCCTTCGTGGGCTGCCCAGGCCCTCCACAGAGACAGCCCTGGAAAGGGCACCTGGAGTCTTTCCCATGAAACTGAGTCCCCGCCCCACCCCCATGACCTGTCACATGTCACCACATCTCTCTGCGTGATGTCACACCCACTGGGAGGACACGACTGGCACTGAACTGGTGACTGGGACAGAATCAGGGCTCCATGGATCCCAAGCACCCCAGCCTTGATGTCCCCCTGTCGCCCACAGGAGACGAGCCATCACATTGGGCAGCCTCGCCTACCTGGGAACCCAAGTCGGCCACCCCATGGAGCCAGATCACCTCTGGGTGGGCTCAGCCCACCAGGCAGGCACCAGGGCTGGAAGAAAGATCACAATAACCCCTGGGGAGTGAAGTGAGGGCAGTGGAGGGGGAGCCTCTAGGGGAGGGGGGGAGCCCCCCACCCTGGGGGGAGGGGGCAGGCCAGCCCCAATTCACAAGGGAGAACACAGACCAGGAGGGCTGACCTGGGAGGGGCGTCCCCAGGGGAGCAGAGGGCTAAGCACCTATCCTGGACAAGGCTCAAGGCAGGACACGCCAACTCCCCATCCCCTGCCTTCCCACTGTGTCAGCTAGGTGGGGTGGGGTGGGTGGTAGGGGCTGGGAGTGGTCCCTGAGCCAGGGCCCAAGGGAACCTGAAGGGCCAGCTCTGGGCTGTGGCTGCTCCAGTGGGGTTTCCAGAGCAAGACGGTTGACCTGAAAGCGATGGCTCCCCCAGGGCTCCTCACAGAGGGGAAGGCAGGGCCCCCCTACAGCTTCTGCCCAATAAAAGGATTGTTAAGAGCCACTTGGGAAGTCATGGTGAGAAAACTTTTTTCTTGGTGAGAACATGGATGAATATCCACCCAACGAGGAAAACAAACATCCTCCCCTTTGGAAGGGAAGGGGCACAAATTCAAGCACAGGCTACTTTGGGGACCTAGAGGGGCCAAGACCAGCATCCACTGGAACACTCACACTCTTCAGAACCAGGGATACCAGCTCCGGGGTTCCCAGGGGCTCCTCCAGGCACCCACCTGGAGAAGCCCTGGCTTCTGCAGGGCTCAACGCACATGCCACCCCCACCCCCAACCCCCTGCAGAAAACTTCAGCAGTGGCCCTGGAAGAGTAAAGATCAAACCACCCAGACCCTGCTTCTAGCTGCCCTCTCTTCCTTTAAGGAAAGGCCAACTGCATTTGAAACCTTGTGACCAACTACCGAGTCTGCCCCGCCCCGGGTTCCTTGAGAAACAACCCGCTCCTCCGCTCAGGCTGCCAGGGCAAGGGCGTCCACAGCTGTTTGCCTGGCGGGGCTTCAGCGACAAAAGTCCCAGGGCCTCCTGGAGAGAAGCTACGACCTTGCACTTGCAGCCTCTCGTCCTCTCCCACACTAGCCTGGGACGAAGGTCCTGGAGGCCCCCAAGTCATGTGGGGCCACATTGGCAGGTGGGCTGGACAGGAACCCCAACACCCGTCCCAGCCCAGGTCCACTGGAGACAGACAACCCCCAGCAGGTCCTGCTGGGCCCCCTTCAAGGTCATACTCCTGTCCACTCCCCGCCCTATGTCGCCAGGTCTGAGCTTACTTCCAGGAGGCCCCACTCATGGCGGATGTGTCGGTGCAAGGCCCTAGCAGGGTTGAGGAGCTGGGCAGGCATACCCCTCCACTGTGGAGCTGGCCTGCTGGCTGTCCAGCCCTGACCATAGAGTGTGGAACCTCCCTGGGGCCATCGTTAGCCTGATTCTCCATGTTCTGGATAGCAGGATCTGCGAAGAGGCTGTTCTCAGACTCTGCTCCACTTGTACCCAGAAGTGCTGGGGTTCTGCTCTCCCGGGGCAGGGGCAGGCAGGGGGGCAAGTAGGCACAGGCGGTGACTGCAGGAGGGGTATGCCTGCATTGGAGAGGTGGGGGCCTGGGGCGGGAGGGATTCACTGGAGCCTGAGATGTGCTGACAGAGAGGCAGCTCTTCCTGGACCAAGGAGCAGGAGTGTGCACGCTGGCCTGGCCCCAGGAGGCCCTGAACGCACAGCAACTCCCCAGGTATCTCATCCTGAGCCTTGCTTGCTCAGCTGCCCCCGAGTCCACGCTCCGCCCGGTGGGGCCAACCTGTCCTGTGCACAAGGAAGGGGGTGCTGCCCCCCTAAGATGCCAGGTTACCTGCACTGAGGCCCTCCCCGGGCCGGGCCGGGGCTAGTGCAGCTCGGCGGGGTTCTGCGGCGGCCGGGGCTGGCCCACATCCATGTCATTGCTGCCACTGTCTAGTTCAAAGCCGCGCCCGCCCAGGGGTGTCTGGGGCATGAACTGGCGGAAGATGCTGACGCTGCCATGCCAGAAGGTGGGCTCTGGGAGCCGGCCCACCACGCTCCACGCCCGAGTCTCTGGGTCGTAGGCCTCCACCACGTCGGAGAGTTCGAAGGTGTTATCATAGCCCCCAGAGACGTAGAGCTTACCTCCGAGGACGGCCAGGCTGCCCCCAACGTGCACCTGTGGGCCAAGGTGGGCAGTGAGGGGAGGCTGGCAGCCAGGGCAGGGGAGAGCCCCCACAGATCCCCCTCTGTGGGGAAGGTGCCCGGGGCCCTTGGCAGGGGTGGCCTTGGCACTTCCTATACCCCAGCTAGGAAACAGGGGCTCCATGCCCAGGGGTCACACACCATGGCTGGTCCCAATGGTGGTCAAGGGGTCTCCAAGCAGCCTCATCCCCGTAAGATGGGCACGATTGTTCTCCCCATCTTACAGATGGGAAAACTGAGCCACAGGTGGCTGACAGTGGCAGAGCTGGGACTTGATCCAAAATCTGGGCTCTGAACCACAAGACTGGACTATCCCACCTTTCCCAAAATTGCTATAATGAGTAAGTGTAGCTCATTATGGGCTTCCCAGGTGGCGCAGTGGTAAAGAACCCGCCTGTAGTGCAGGAGATACAAGAGACATGAGATCAATCCCTGGGTCAGGAAGGTCCCCTGGAGAAGGAAATGGCAACCCACTTCAGTATTCTTGCCTGAAGAATCCCATGGACAGAGGAGCCTAGCGGCTTTATCGTCCACAGGGTTGCAAAGAGTTGGACACAACTGAGCACGCATGCACGGTAGCTCATTATGGGGCCAACCGAAGTTAGATTTGGCAACAGTAAAGATGTTAAATAAACTCTGATATTGTATATTATGACACTGGTCATGCAGAGGTATCAAGAGAGAAGGTTTGGAAAATTCTTTTTTTTGCTATGGGGAGGCTGTGCCATGCAGCATGTGGGATATTAGTTCCCCGACCAGGAATTGAACCCATGTCCCTCGCAGTGGAAGCACAGACTCCTAACCACTGGACCACCAGGGAAGTCCCAGGTTGGGAAGTATTAAGGAAGACAGAAAACAGAGATAGAAGTGGGTATAGATGTGTGTCTGGGAATAAGGAAAGTGCCCATGTGGCCAAATGCTACCAAACCTTCCTGGCTCCATCTTACTGTAAAACTCAACAAGCAAAGAAAGTCACACCCCATTAGGCAGCAGAAGTGTGGGTACACAGCAGGTGCTCAATAAATGTACTCCCAAGGTCAATCCCCAGGGACCTCCTTGTCTGACCTCATCCCTCTGTTGCCCCCGTGTTCACTCTGCTCCAGCCATGCCAGGCTGAGGGCTTGTTCCATGAATGTATCAGGCATGGCCCGCCCCAGGCCCTTTGCACTTGCAGTCCCTCTGTGGAACACTCACTCGAAGCCTGCTCTCTGGCTCACAGTGGGCACTCACTGAACTCTGGTCTGAATGGATGAACTAAGCTATGTGACTCTGGCATCTTATGTAAGGTCTCTGTTTTGGTGACCCCCAAACACAAGTGGAGGACAGCAGCAGCCCGCTGTGCAGTGAGACAACGCTGGGGAAGTGCCCAGTACGGACCCTTGCCTGCTGGGACTGAACCTCCAAACACCTGTGCTGACACTGGCTGGAAACCAGGGCCAGCCCGAACACCCAGTGCTGGTGAGTCTGCAAACTCACCTGATTCATTGACGGGATCTTATCCCATTCGTTCTTGGTGGGGTTATACACGTCCACTTCAGCCGAGTCGTCCCTGGGGAGTGGGCGAGGAGGAAGAGCAGGTCAGAGTGAGTAGGAAGCCCCTGGGTGTGAGTGCTGGAGAGAGGGTCCACCAGGCCCACCTCCTTTGGGGACCTCTGTGATGCTGTTTGGCTGCCCACTGGCCAGTGGGACCCCGCCCCTGGCTCAGAGGGGCTGACTTCAGGTCCCCACACCTCGGCTCTGAAGCTGGAATCCAGCCTTGCTCCACAAACCCAACAATCACACTGAAACCCCTTCCTGCAGCCCAGCACCAATGCAGCAGATCCTCCCCGGCTACCATGGTCACACAGTCTAGCCTCAGCTCCGGAACTGACCATGGCCCGTCCGCTCAATCTCCACTTATTCTTCTGATTTGGACTTCTGCCTCCTCTTCAGGACAGCCTTCCAGGGCTGACGAGTCTAGGCCAGGCCCCCTGCCCCACTGCCCGCCCCCCTCATGCTCCTCGGCCGCCGCCCTCCCACCGCCGTCAGCCCCCATCACACCCTGTTGACTGCTATGTCCTAGGTGCCCAGCAGGGTGACCAGAATCACAGGAGTGAGGGCACCTGCACGGCCCCCCACTTTGGGCCCAGGCTCCTTCAATCCTGTTTGACCCACTCCTGATGCCTTCACTCAAATGTTCAAAGGCACAGCCTCGAAAAACACTATCTCCCAAATAGTAGCGTTGATGATGATGATGATGGTCACAGGTCAGCGGTTAGCAGAAGGGCCCGAGAATAAACATTTCAGGTCTTGTGGAGCAGACAGCCTCTGCGGCAGGTCCCCAGCACTGCCGCTGAGAACAAATGCAGCCACAGACATATAAACAAAGGGGCTGGTTGCCTTCCCATAAAACCTTATTTATGGACGCAGCTTTGAATTTCACATAACTTTCCACACGTCAGGAAGTATGACTCTTGCTTTGATTTTTTTTTTTTTCCTCCAACCACTTCAGAATGTAAAAACCATTCTTAGGTTGTGGCCCACGAGATGACGATAATTAATATGGGAACCCGCTGGGCTGCCCTCCCCAGCTGCAGGAACACAGAAGCTGCAGCCAGAAGGTGCCAGGCTGGACAAGGCTCTTGCCTCCTGCCTTTGAGGGGCTGGGACACCCCAGCCCAGGAGCCATGTGAAATTGGGACAAAACTGGAGCACGGCTGGGGGAGGGGGCTGCTGGTCACTGCTCACGGCCGGGGCAGCTGAAGCAGACAGCGTGGGACACCTCCCTATCACAGCCTCTTCTAGACAGGAGCTACCCCAATAGCAGGCCTGGTGAGCAGGAGTGACGTGGCCAAGGTGCCCAAGGGAGTGGATAGAGTGCATGAACACTCAAGAGCACGAGACCCAGGCCCCCAGGCTCACCCACACGCTCAAGGAGGCCAGGCCCTCACTGTTCACTTAGAGGATAAACAGGCTGCCTTTCTAGTTTGGTGGGAACTGTGGTGGGGGGGCACAGAAGGCAATGGCACCCCACTCCAGTACTCCTGCCTGGAAAATCCCATGGACAGAGGAGCCTGGTAGGCTGCAGTCCATGGGGTCACTAAGAGTTGGACACGACTGGGCGACTTCACTTTCATTTTTCACTTTCATGCATTGAAGAAATGGCAACCCACTCCAGTATTCTTGCCTGGAGAATCCCAGGGGCAGGGGAGCCTGGTGGGCTGCCGTCTATGGGGTCGCAGAGTCGGAAACGACTGAAGTGACTTAGCAGCAGCAGTGGTGGTGGTGGGGGGTTGTGATGAGTAGAGTTGAGCCCACCTACCTGGCCCCCCATGGCCTCGGTGACCATGTACGAAGGCTGACAGTAGGCCTGGGGGGGCATCCTAGATCTGCACGTGGGGCGGTTTAGCAGCTGACCAGCAAGCCCGACCAGGAGGACCAAGGTGCTGGGCCTTCTGTCCACACGCTGGTCCTTGGGCATATTTTGTTCTAGGACTGTGGGGTGGGGGCAGGAGGGTGTTCTCAAAGGCACTCGGCCTGGAACTGCCATGAGGGGCTGAGGCCAAGTTCCTGGCACTCTGACGAAGGTTCTGGCACCCTCGTAAGGTGTATTTATAGCCATCCCCACCCCCACTTTGAAGAGGTTTTCACAACTCAGGGAGGAGAGCTGGATGAAGGGTCAGACGATGTGATGTTTATAACAGGGTCAGGAGCCGGCTGAGTCTCTGGGGCTTCCTTGGAGCCAACCTGACCTTTCTGGGAATCAGGGAGGCCTGGCCACCATGAGACAAGCAACACCTCTGGGTTCCAACTGTATTCTCCCTGGAAGCCTGGGAAAGAGCCTCAGGTCTGGGGCAGGGGAGGCTCAGCTGGTGAGAGGGGAGTGGCCCAAGAAGCACAGGGTCCCTGTCCTCAGAGACCCCCAATTCAAAGTCCCAGATGGAATGGGGAGGGAGGGATGGTCATTCACACCTTCCCCTCCCCTCTGGGTCTGAAGTTTCAGGCAGGCTCTAGGCCATGGAGGGGAGAGGCAGTTACACAGGCCTATAAGCATGTAGGGCTCCCTGATGGCTCAGATGGCAAAGAACCTGCCTCCCAATGCAGGAGAACCAGGTTCGATCCCTGGGTTGGGAAGATCCCCTAGAGAAGGGCATGGCTACCTACTCCAGGATTCTTGCTTCAAGAATCTCATGGACAGAGGAGCCTGGCGGGCTATAGTCCATAAGGTCACAAAGAGTCAGATACAACTGAGCAACTAATACACACAAGCACGTTTGTGAGTGCATACATGACACACACACAGAAGCTGTGATCTGCAGATATGGAGCTCCCAGCTCCTTAGATGCCCACTGGCCGATCAGGAGGGGACATCTGGTTGTGACAAATCATCAAGACCCACAGATGCACGCTGACCCACTGGGTGCCCAGCTCCACAGCTAGGCCCAGGGAGGCTGGGATGTGGTGACAGCACATGGGACCTGGGTTGGAAGTTCTTGGTTCTAACCCTGTGCCACCATTTAAAGCCTGAGGGGCCTTTCCTGGTGCTCCAGTGGCTAAGATGCCGTGCTCCTAATGCAGGGGGCCCAGGTTCGTTCCCTGGTCAGGGAACTAGATCCTACATGCCTGCATGCTGCAACTGAAGATCTTGAGTGCAGGAACTAAGACCTGATGCAATCGCATAAACATACATAAAAGCCTGCAGTTGTGAGCAAGTCCCTTACCCCTCTGTCCCTGTTTTGCCACCTGTGAAAGGGGGACAACAGTGGTGTCATCTTGTTAAACAGCCATGGGGCACTAGCCTTGAAAATGCCCATAAAGCAGGTAATCCAGAGTTCGACCCACTGGGGATTTCAACAGGCTAACTACAGTCATTGTTCCTGCAGGCAGCTCCAGGTCGGCTTGGAACCAGGCCCCTCCCTGGTCCAGGGTGGCGGCGGGATCCTGGGAGAACAGCATTCTTTTAGCAAGATTCATGAGCCCTCCCGGGCCAGGCCGGGTAGGAAGGGAAGAGAGAGAACCTGCAGAGACGCACTGAACCCGGAAGTTCTGCTTTCTGCAGAGGGGCGAGGTCAACCCATCCACCTGGTCCCTCACACCTGGCACCAGTCGGCTGATGAGCAAACTGTCTGTCAAGGCCATGCTCCTCCTCCCAAAGACTCAAGTGTGCAGAAAGCTCTCCTCTTATTAAGATTCAAAGTCCCTCTCAGGTAGGATAGGTGGCTCCTTTTAGTAAAGGCCACATGAGACCAACTAGGGTTTTTAGAGGAACCCAGCTTCCCAGGTGGCACTAATGGTAAAGAACCCGCCTGCCAATGCAGGAGACAAGGGTCTGATCCCTGGGTCAGGAAGATCCCCTGGAAGATGAAATGGCAACCTATTCGAGTATTTTTGCCTGGAGAATCCCACAGACAGAGAAGCCTGGTGGGCTACAGACAACAGGGTCGCAAAGAGACACAATTGAAGCAACTTAGCATGCAGGCACAGGCGAAGTCTAGCCAAAGAGACATAATTGATTTAGCACCTTTGAATCTCAAAAAGTTCTCTGCAAAGACCTAGCTCCATCCATCACATTTGGGTCCCAAGAGGCCACAGAAACCACTCTAAGTAATGAGGGGCAGAACCACAGCTCCAGGTCAGAAAGATCCACCTCAGAGCCCAGTGCGACCTCAGTTTCCTCACCTGTGAAATGGGAGAACACCGAAGCTGTGCTTAACTAGTAAAAAAGAGTACCCAGTGGCCTTGGCCCCGGGGACTCACCTGATGAAGTACATGAGTCCGTTCAGAGTCACTGTCTTGGGGGCAAAGGACCAGGGTGGGAGCTGGCCGCAGTCCACCAGCGACCACAGGTCCGTGTCTGGGTGGTAGCACTGCATGACCATGGTCTCCTTGCCAGCCAGGGAGCCGATGGCGTAGAGCCGGCCCCGGCAGGCTGTGGTGGAACAGTTGTCCATGGGGTAGGTCATGGGCTGCAGGGCCTCCCAGGAGTCGGTGGTGTGGTCGTAGCGTTCTGTGCTGTCCGCAGCCACCACGTACAGCAGCCCGTCCAGCACAGAGGAGCTGTGGTACTCCCGGGCCTTCAGCATGGGCGCCACCTCCGTCCACTCATTCACACTTGAGTTGTACCTCCACACACAGTCATAGAGCCGGGAGCCATCAGATCCACCTGCCGCGGAGGACAATGGGCAGATAGATGATTAGCCCACACCGACTCAGGGTGAGTCACCCACCTGTGACTCCCTGAACTTCCCAGAGAGTAAGGATGAAACACACATCCTCTCTTACCAAGGCCCCAGCCAGGGGCTCAAGCCAGGTACAGGCTGACCATTGCCCAGGAGGATGGTCCAGCTTCATGCCATAAAAACACCACTGCACCTCTGTGGGCCAACCAGAGGCCACAATTCTGAGTACACAGTAATCTCAGTTTGGACCCCTGCACTCAGAGTCAGATACCTCAACTGGATGGGAACATCAGGTCTTGGAGTCCATTTTCCCAGGAAGCCACAAGTCATGTGGGTGGGAGGGACTTCCCTGGTGGGCCAGTGGCTAAGACTCTGAGCTCACAATGCAGGGGGCACAGGTTCGATCGCTTGTTCGGGAACTAAGATCCTGCAAGCTGTGCTTGGCCAAAAAAAAAAAAAAAAAAACTAAAACAGCATATGTGGGTGGGGTGCCTGGGGACTTGTTCATTAAATTCTAGGCATCCCCTAACCAAGGCTGGGCCAGGATGAGTTAAGAAGAAACCTAAGTGCTCAGCCAGCAAGAAACCTAACACAGAAGGTGATGCTATGAGTGAACTTCTGGGGTTGTATTTCTTGATTTATGTGCAAGCTACTGACTTGTTTTGTTTGGAAAAAGTCATCAAGCTGTGCAAGTATGATGTCTATTTTTCCATCTATATGTCCAAAAAAAGTGCTAAAAAGCAAACAAACAAAGCTCAGTGATACTGGCTATTGCCATAAGTTAAACCAGGCTCACCTAGGACATTAGGATTCCCACAAGGTGAAGGGGCCCCAAGAACCCTGGGGGTTGGATTCCCCTCCTCGTCCCAAGCCTGGGGGTAAAGGGCAGAGTAGAGCCGCCATTACATTCTATTCGACTCACAGCCTGGAGCTTTTAGAGGGAGAAGACAGCCTCCTTGTAAAGTCCTCCCAGCCTCCCTTCTTTCTAAAGGAGAACTGTGTCAAAGGCAGCTGAAGCCGCCTCCTCGGCCCTGTGAGATTCCCTAGAGGCAGCTGTAGGGAATGACCCAGCCACCTGTCTAAACCCAAAGGATTAGCTGAGACATTTATGGAAGGGTGTGCAAAGATGGGGGAGTCTGACCAGTTGTGGGAGTTTACTGACCAGACTTCAGTGGTGGGGGTGGGGTGGGGTTGAAGGGGGTTGGTTCCCCAACAACACATGGCCAACCTCAGACTGGGAACTGGCCCATTCTGGCAGATTCCTGCAGAGGCAGGACCTGGAGTGGCAGCCACACAGCCGAGCCTGTCCTCAGGCTAGGATGAGCCCAACTTCTCAGCTCAGAGCCCCCAGGACACTGGAGGGAGGGGCAGGTACCTCAGAGTTGGCTTTCTCCCGAACTAACGTGCCAGGCTGGACACAGCGCTGCGCCGGCCCAGCTGAGGCCTCCCTGCCCAATCCAGCCCCCTGCAGGCCCTGAGCGTATGCTTGGCTGGGTTCTTTCCTTATATAGCCCTCGCACAGACCGCCCCTCCTCACCCCACGCATGGAGAGAGCCTCATGTTTGAACTGGGATTCATCTTTAATAAAAAATGTGGGAGATGCCCAGGACTGGGGCGGGCTGGGACCCGCCCAGCATGACTCGGCAGTGTTTTGGGGTTTGGGCCAAGTAATTGGAAGAAAACCTCTTAGCATGTGACTCTGTTTACAGTCGCTGGGCCGGGAGCAGCCTAAACACCACGTGATGCACAGCGCAGGGCCTAGGTACAAGCCCCAGGGAATGCTGTCACTGGTGACCAAGTGAGTGAGTCAGGGGACTGTGCTGCTCAGCTGGGAGGGAGAAATTCCCCCCTACCGGGGTAGAAAGGATGTACCACAGGGCGTCAGTCCCTGGCCTGTCCCCAGATTCCTTGGGGAGAAAAAGGAAGCATTCATAGTGCAGGGTTGGAGAAGGAAATGGTAACCCACTCCAGTGTTCTTGCCTGGAGAATCCCAGGGACGGTGGAGCCTGGTGGACTGCGACTATGGGGTCGCACAGAGTCAGACATGACTGAAGCGACTTAGCAGCAGCAGCATAGTGCAGGGAGGCTGCCCCAGTGTCTTGCCACCAAATGGGGACACCGCCTGGGCGAGGAGGGGGCTGCCCAGACAGGCCCTGCGAGAGCCACAGATGGCTACTTGTCCCACTAACACAAAGGGGTTCTTCTAGATCTTAAGTATCAACCCTAGAAACTTCTGTGCCTGCCAGTCGGGGGAAGGGGGAGTGTCCACCTGCACCCAGGTGGCGCTTGCGGTTCCAGGCACTTCGGGTTCTCTTGCAGGTTAAAGTGCCTGCTCCCCAGTTGGGGTCTGGGCGGGCCAGGGTGCTCCTGATCAGCCCCCATGCCCACTTACCCGTCACGTAGATGTCGTTGCCCAGCGCCACGATGCTGTAGCCTCCGCCCAGGTGGTCGGGGAACTCGGCCAGGTAGCGCCACTGGCCCGTCTGCGGGTTGTAGCAGTCGACGGTGACCAGTTCGTCGCAGTCCTGGTCGCATCCGCCCACGAGCACGAGGATCTCGGCGAGGCCGGTGGAGGGGCGCGGCCGCATCCGAGGGCAGGGCCCGCGGTCGTGGCGGTCGTAGCGTGCCGCCTGGAAGTCGCGCGCCTCGCGCAGCAGGCGCAGGCAGGGCGGGCAGCGGGCCACCAGAGGCTCGGCCTCGACGTGCGCCAGCAGGTAGAAGCGGCGCACGAAGGGCAGGCGCACGGCCTCCAGCAGCTGCGGCCAGTGCGCCGCGCGGCGCGGCGGGTCGGCGCGCACCCAGCGCAGTGCCAGCTGGTAGGCGGCCTCCTCCTTGGGCACGCAGAGCCCGTCGTCGCGCAGGTAGCGCAGCAGCCGCGCCAGGGGCAGACGCTCCAGCTGCTCGGCGCCCAGCTCGCCCACGTGGCGCAGGATGAAGCGCTGAGCCGCGCTCGCCAGCCCCGCGCAGCTGAAGGCCTCGGCGAAGTCCTGCATGTCCAGGCAGTTGGTCAGGTCGAGCTGCTGCTGCAGGAAGGCGCCGCACGCCTCCTTCACCGCCGGGAATTGCAGCAGGTCGGCGGCGCGCAGCAGCGGCTCGGCGTTGTCGCCGCTCACCGCCACGCGGCCAGTGTAGCTGAAGTCGAGCAACAGCTGCAGCATGTCGGGCGGCACGCCGTGCAGGCGCACCCGCTCGGCACGGCTCTCGCGCAACTGCCCGGCGAACATGGCGCGGAAGTAGGGGCTGGCGGCCGCCAGCACGGCGCGGTGCGCCGGGAAGTCGCGCCCGCCAGCCGCCTCCAGGGTCACGTCCAGGAACTTGCGCTCGGCGCGGAGCTGGCTCAGGCCGCGCAGCAGGCTCAGGGCGTGCGCGGGGTCCGAGAAGGGCAGTACGGCCAGGGGCGCCGGCCGCTCCATGGCGCCTTGGCTGGGGGCGCGGGGCCGCTGCGCGCGGTACTCGGAAAAGCCGCGGCCGGGGCCAGCGGAGAGACAGTTTGCGCTGGGAGCCGCCGCAATAAATACGACCGGGCGCGGCGGCCTCCGGGGGGCCGGGCAGGGCGGGGGCGGGGCGTCACCGACACCGCCTACTTAACTCTTTTGGGTCCGGCGCCGCTGCTAAGCTAAGCGCGCTGACTCGCCTTCTCTCGCGCGCTCCCGCCCCCGCGCTCCAGGCTGAGTCACCGCCGCCTGCGCCCGCTCCCTCTCTCCGCCCTTCCGGGGCTTCCTGCGGCCTCCCGCCGACGCCGGAGCCTGGGACACAGGGTGACAAGTGTCCTTTCGGAGGGGGCAGACCTGCCGTGCGCTGGAATCCGGGGCCTCCAGAGCCTGCCCATCACCCACTCGGCCCAGCTGCCGAACAAAACCCGGTGGGGGCGAACGAAGCCATCCCTTTCGCGCCAGACTTCCCAAACTGCTCCAGGGCGACTCGGTACAACGTCTTTTTTTTTCCCCCCTTTGGAATTCCACTAGTTCCAAGGGTTGCTTGTTAACCCTATCTCGGGACAGATTTCTAACGACGAAACATGTTTTTACAATTCAGGACTAAAGCAAGAACAAGTATAAAGTCTTTAGGTGACGTTTTCTTCTTGGCGCATCCGTGAGGGACACCGGGCCAGATGCCAGGAATCTGCTCCGCTGTGTTCCTGCGGGAGTTTCTAACTTGACTAACTCGGTCAGTAACTTTCGTCAGCACACAAGGCGGTTTTAGTTTCTTAGTCATCTACGGACCCTTTCAGGCTCTGAGCTCCCCTCTGAAGGGGAGGGGCCTGCCCTGGCTGTGTTTGGTCACCCTGGCCTTCTTAGCCCCTCCTCTCCTGGTAATGGAAATTGGAAAGGCAGAAATCAGGGTAGGAAAGATCCATGAGAATTCGTTAGAATATACTATTAAACTAAACAAAAAGCTGAAGCACCAGAAAATAATTCCTGGGAAAAATAGCTGTTTTTCCTCTTCCATTTGAGGGGCGCCAGGTACCCGGAGGGAACCGGGCTCAACTCAAGGTCAGACAGGACTGCCTTAAAAACCAGAGATGTGCCTCTTCAACGTCACCATCACATGTGGGGTGACCATGAAGAAAGAAATCTTCCTTATTTTGGTTCCAGTAGATACAATACCAGGACTTTGCTTTCAAAGAAACCAGATGAAAAAATTCCCTCACTTGGAAGCCATTTTTTTCTTCAGTTCAATGGACGATTTGCTCATTTTTAAAAAAGACCCTTATTGGGCTTCTTGTGTTGCAGATGAAACCGGGGTTTCTGTTACTGGGTAGCCCCCACCCCGCCCTGTGAACTTGGCAAACACACCCGATGGAAGCCTCACTCCGCCCACGTGAGTCCTGGGGCAGGCGGGCCACACCAGGAGCTGCTGTCATTTCTTGGTTCCAGCTCATCGACTCAGCCTTTGGAGAAGACATCTTGGTTTTATTCCACCTCGGAGAAGTGAACTGTAGGCCTTCTTTTCTCTTCCTGAATCTCTCACCATCTTGCCGTGAGAAGGTATCTGATCTGAATGTCAGCATGGGAAGCACAGCCCTAAGTCAGAAAACATTCAGGTACCCAGGCGGGCTGCCTGTTGCCCATAGATGGACTGTTCACACAGCTATTAACGGCAGCATTCCTGGGCCCAGGAGCTGGGCCAATAAGCTTACTTGCTCAGGCTTTGTGACAAGAAAGTCTGAGTAGCCAGGAAGTGGGATGTTTGCAGGGAAAAGTACTACAGTTCCTCTAGGTCAAAACCCATCCACCTGGTATAAATCAAATCTTTACATCAATAATGTTTCTGTAGTTAACAACGGAGTCTACTTTTGTGTATCCCCAACAACAGGAATTAACTGTTTCAGGTTTACTTTGAAAAACAGATGTTGCTACCTATTAAAATGGAAAGATGTTCATGTTATAATGTCAAGCAAACAATCTGATTACCTGTGTGACCCCCATTTGTTATAATGTGTTTATATGCCTACCAAGAAAGTGTGAAGGTAACATTTTTCTCTAGGTGGCTAGGTTTAGGTTTGTTTTGTTGTTTTTTGCTTGCCTGCATTTTCTGTTTTCCTATATTAAACATATATAACCTGGGTATTCAAGGATTGAAAGTTCAAAATAAAAAGTTCAGTTCTTGAGGGAAAAAAGTATATTATTAATATCCTAGACCTAACAGGAGAGCACTTGAAGCCATGTGTATAAATCTAAGGCAATGAAGGAATGTAGTTAGAAAAGAAAGGAACAGATTTAGACTGATCAGCTGTGTTTGGAATTTTGAATAACCTGCTAACCCAAGCATGCTACTTGGTTCCTTTTTTTTGCTCATTAATCTCATGAGTTCAAAATGGGAATGTGAAAAATTCATTCACTGCAGTATGATAGTGTGATGGATACAGTCAGCAAACTGTATTAATATGGGGGTTTAAAATTCTCAAATATCATCCAACACCCTACTGTGATGCAAACACCACTTTCTGGTGAGGAAGGTGTTAACTGTAACCAACAAGCAATAGTTTGTGGGAAAATGTATTTAAAGACTAAACTTCAGTCATGAATGTTTTAAAAGTGTACCTCTTCTAAAATAATGAAACTGGTCTAAGTAACTTTATGATAATGTAATTCAATGTGATTTAACAAATAATGGTACATAATTCATTAAATACCAAATAAAATAAAAACAAATTTCATTTAAAAAATGAAAACCACTTGATATTTGAATTCTGATTTTAGGCAGACAGGACAACAGCTAACTGAGATAATTTTAAAAGCTGCTGTGACCTCCTTTTTATTTTCTTTGAGAACATACAGGAAGGCTCATAGCCTCATTGAGCTTGCCTGTTTGCCATGACAAGGCTGTGATCCATGAAGGAGACAAGAACACATACTGTAGCATTTACAAAGTCAAAAAGAGATTGTACCTTTTCCCAATTAGACATTCTATTTTTTTCTGATTCTGGGCTGCCTAAGGTGTGGTTTGTAATGTACTTATTACATATAATTTTTTTCCTTTAAGGAATATTACAGTATTCTGTTAATTATTGAGTGTAGTATTATATGAAAATGACATGCTACAAGTAAAAATATTTAAATCGTTTGGGACATAGTGTTACCTATTAATCTTTATATTTTACCTGTATAAACCAAAGCATGAGAAATCCATTTGATTCGTCTATGCACATCTAATTTTCATCATTATATGGGAAGTTGACAATACCAGTTTAGAAATTATTTATTAATAATTTTAAATTATTCACACCAGGACATCCTTGATGGTTAGGGGCTGAACCTTGGTGCTCCTAATGCTGGGGGCCTGGGTTCCATCCCTGGTTGGGAAACTAGGGTCCACATGCTGCAACAGAAGATCCTGCATGCGGCAACTAAGACCTGGTAGTAAAGCTATGACGAAACTAGACAGCGTGTTAAAAATCAGAGACGTTACTTTGCCAGCAAAGGTCTATCTACTCAAAGTTATGGTTTTTCCTGTAGTCATGTATGGATGTGAGAATTGAATCATAAAGAAGGTTGAATGCTGAAGACTTGATGCTTCTGAGCTGTGGTGTTGGAGAAGACTCCTGAGAGTCTCTTGAACTGCAAGATCAAACCAGTCAATCCCAAAGGAAATCAATCCTTAATATTCATTAGAAGGACTGATGCTGAAGCTCCAATACTTTGGACACCTGATGGAAGAACTGACTCATCAGAAAAGGCCCTGATGCTGGGAAAGATTGACAGCAGAAGGAGATGACAGAGGATGAGATGCTTGGATGGCACCACTGATGTAATGGACGTGAGTCTGAGCAAGCTCCAGGAGATGGTGAAAACAGGGAAGCCTGGCATGCTGCACTCTATGGGGTTGCAAAGAGTGGGACACAACTGAGTGACTGAACAACAACAAAAGTCAAATAAATAAAAATAAGTATTAAAAAAATTATTCACACACAAACAGTAGGCAAGACACTAAAAGTTCAAAATACAGTTTTGAGAAATTTTTACTTATTTTCCTCTCGGAATGGGAAGTGAGAAAGGCAAAAAACTGTGGGTAGGAAAATCCATTAAGAATCCATAAGAATATCCTATTAAACTGTGTAAAAAGATGAAAAACCAAAAAATAATTCCTGGAAAAATATATCTTTTGTGTGTAACCACAATCAGGCTGAGTTAAAACAGAAGCAGAAAAGCATTCCTGAGTTTCACCCAAGTGAATGCAGTGTAGAGTGAAGATTTAGGAAGGTGAAGCTATATTTGGTAACTCAATTAAAATAACTATATTCTCAAGTTACTTACTGGGAAACCATGGTATTCTTAGTATTTTAAAACTTGTCACAACCTGTGCTAATGTTGGCTTTTTTCTTCCTCTTCCCTGGGTAACTATAATCATCTGAGAATTAGTATTCAGTAGCAGGTTTTTTTTTTTTTTTTTTTTAAGCAGAAAACAAAGATCTGGCTACTGTGGCTAATGCTGTTGCATGATTCACGGAATTCTAGATTTGCCCCCTGGAGCCCAAGAATAGTACAGGATATCTGAGAAATAAACTGAGTATGTTGAAGAAACCTAAGCCTGTCATACAGAGGAAAGCACCTTTATTATCCCCACAGCTACATATGCTATTGAATTTGGGTCAGTTATTGGTGTTGAGGCAAGGGATGGTAGGTATTATCTAAATCTTCTTCAAAAACCTAAATTTCTAACAGGAATAGAAGGATAAAGAAGGTCTTCCTCTATGAAGTTTTCTATTTCACTGGGTGGCAGGTAGGGAGACAAGCAGAGTACACCAGGTGTACTGGTCACCTTCATGGTCGTACTGTTGCTTAGTTGCTAAATGTGTCCAGCTCTTTTTCCACCTCATGGACTGTAGCCTGCTAGGCACCTCTGTCCATGGGATTTCCCAGGCAAGAATAGTGGAGTGGATTGCCATTTCCTCTTCAAGGGATCGTCCCAGACCAGGGATGGATGCATCTTCTGAGTTGACAGGTGGATTCAGTACTGCTGAGCCACCAGGGAAAGCCCACCTTTGTGTACTAAGAACTTAGTCAAATAACTATTGGATACCTACCCTGAGCAAGTTATCACTGTCACATGACACCATCTAAGTTTGGGATTTTCTTAGTGTGACTGAGTGGTCCAATATAGATCCCTGAATTCTAGGTTGTTTTGTCATCAAGTCCCTAATTATTGTAAGTTCTTTATATCATTGTCTTAATTGGGGGGGGGTTAATGTTTATTATGTGAAAAGTTGTACTTTTAAGGAATAATGATCTTTTTTTAAAAAATTCCTCTATTCATTTGGACTTTGCCTCTCATAATTATTCCTTTCTTGGTATTTACACCTTTAAACTAGCAATAGGATAATGTCCTTTTTGGCGCTTTCATATTTAGACAAAACAAGTTGCTCCGGTGAATAAGACCCTTGGAGAAACTGGCGAACCTCAGGACATTTGCTCTGGCAACAGAGATCAGATAACATTCCAAATCTGGCTAAATCACCTAAAGGTGAGGACTCTGTGAGAAGGTGTTAATGTTTCCACAGGCTAAATGGGATGTCTGTTTTTATCTTACTAGCTTTGTAAAGCACCTCAATTTACTATCACCTCTGGGAAGCTCTCCAATCTTTGAAGATCTTGCTGAAATATTTTAAAAAGTAGCAACAATGATAAAAATAAACTATTTATTGAGGCGAGTAAAACATTTTATAGCTAAGGTATTAAAGGCTTAGAGAAGTATTTCTAAGATAAATCAGTCTCTTAATCACTAAGTGTTTCCATCAGAATTAACCATCCAAACAGCAATAGACAACCAATGCAGCATTCACTACCACGGAAACAGTCTAATAGGGATTCTTCCGATCATCTTTCTGATTTAGTATGTAGATGAGTCAGTTTTCTGATCTGAATTTAAAATTTTATGTCATTCCTGTTTAACAGTTTGTCTTCGAAGCCACCTAATACGTTACTGAATTATTTATATTTCGTATATAAACTTTTCTCTTTCAAATGGTTATTAAAAATATTAAAGTATTTGAGGCCTCCTCATGGTCAGTTTATCAGAGCAGTTAATTTTCAACTAAGTGTTCAGAGTAAATCAACCTTCAACATATAAAGTTGTAAAATACGCCGCGGTCCATTATTTAAGTACAGCCAACTCAATTAAATATCAGTAAACAAAGTCAACGTCAATGCCAAATATCTCTATATCTCTGTCGGGTTTTCGCCTCACCCACTGCTGTGATCCTGTGAAGAATGCATTCAGGAACTAATTCAATGCAAAGTAAAAAAACAGGACTGATGTCAAGGTTAGGCGAACGGAAGAAAAAAAAAAGCGTATTTAAAACACTTTCTAAAACACCGGCAACACTGGTGTAGTTTTTAAAAATGCGCTGGTAACCCGACACTTCGAAGTGTTTGCTACGGGGGAGACTCGGGCGGTCCCACCCCTCTCGGCCTCGGTCGGCGGTCCCGGAGCCCCGGAGCCGGCCAGAAAAAGACACAGCCGTGAAAACAAGTTCGCTTCGCCCGGTCCGAGGAGCGGGGAGTCAGCCGTGGGGCGGCTGCGACGTCAAAGCCCGCGGTCACCGCCCGGCTGTGGAGACCCCAGCCCCACAAAGGGGCACAGACCCCAAGTCCTAAAGGCGAAAAAGGTGGCGCTAGCCGCCGCCCACCACGACCAAGGCCGTCAGCCCTGCCCCCACCCGCGGGGGCGACCCCTGACCCCCCCCGCCTCCGCAGAGACCGAGGCGCTCTGGCTTGCACCGCCCCTCCCCCATCGCCCAGCCGGCGCGAGTCCCCGCACCTCCCCCGCTCCGGCGGTCTCGGGTCTCCGAGCCACTGCCTCCATAGACCGAGCAGCCGCCGCGGAGCTCTCTGGGGGTTGGAGTCCTCGAGGGGGCCTTTGCGCGCCTCAGCGGCGGAGCCGAGGACTATGACTCCCACAATGCCTCGCGCCCGCCCCCTCGCCGTCGGCTTTCCGTCGCTCCCAGACTACATTTCCCGGCAGCCCTCGCGGCTCTCCCGCCCTCCCTCCCGAGACACGAGCCGAACTGGGCGTCAGGTCGGGGAGCCGGTCGGGTTCCCGCTCGCCGCCGCCGCCGCCGCCGCCCCCCGCAGCGACTCTCCCGCCTCTCCAGTCGCGCTGGTCGCAGGACCTGCATCGACAACTCTGCTCGGCTGTGGAGCCGCCGGCCCGAGAGTATAGTGTCCAGGACGCGACACACCGACCCCCCATCATCTTCAGTCGGGGCGACCCCTCCCGGGTCCGCCTTCGCCCTGCGCGGCCGCCAGAGCCCCCGTCTCCGAGCGGCCCCGTGGCCCGGCGTCCGCATCCCGGCCCCTGCAGTCCGCGGTCGCCGCCCCCCACCCTGAACATGGACTCCGACTCCTGCGCCGCCGCTTTCCACCCGGAGGTGAGTGAGAGCTGCGCCCCGACAGCCCCTGACCACCCTCACGCCGATCCGGTGCTCCCGAAGGCCGACCCCCGCCGGCTGGGCGCCGTTCTCCCCTCCCCCAGCTATTTCTCGTCGCCCCCCGGGCGCCCAACCCCGCCCCCCACTCGGGCCCGCGCCCGGTCTTCCCCGCCCGCCGTATCCTCGGTGTCCCTTCCGCGGGCGTCCGCGTCCTCCCGGCGCCCCTTCCCCGTGGTCGCCGCGCCCACCCTCCCCGGCCTCGCGTAGCCGGGGGACCTGTCTGCGCCCCCGGCCCCTCCTCGCCGGCC